CAGTTGTCAAACCAATATGAGCCAACTTAAGCAATTCTGGACCACTGACTTGAACAGGTTTCCTTTCCAATTCCCCAATTCAGTGCTGGAGAGCTGGGTTAAGTTGGCTCATATTAGCTTGACAAGTGTAGGTGAAACCTCAGACTTACAGAAATATGGATTTGCACTAAACATTAAGAATGCAATGCAGTGAAAGAAAGGTTGGATCAGCTTCTGCCAAAATGCTTCAGGATTACCTAATCTCCCAGATTCCTTCCACATTTTAATTTTTTAATAATTATAGATCTAGGGATGTAATTTCATGGATTTAGAGGACCTTTTTGCACCCAAATGTTGCATGAAGCAAGGACCTGGATGCATGTTCAGCTGTCTTGAAAAGTGGGAACTGTACCAATAGGATGCATAAAGAACTACTGAATAGAATCAAAGAAAAAAAGAAAAGAAAAAGAAATCAAACTTGTTTCTACAGTTAGCAAGATCAGTTATGTGCAATATCCGGAAATAGCCAATCTGACTATTCTTAGCATCCAGACAAAGATTTTTAAGCCCTGCTGACAGCATTTTTTTTAATTGAAAATCCATCCTCCTGGGCCCTTCTGGAAACAAAAAGGCTGTCAAAGACTGAGGGTGACACGATCTATACCCCACAGACAGAAATATCAAGGAAAGTGAAAAATGTTCCTAAGGGCCCCAGGCAAAAAAACCCAAAACAAAACCGGAAAGACAGAATAAAAGGCCGCATTCTAGGGTTTTAAATGGGTGGAGAAATCAGCCCTTAAAGCTCTACAAAGCTTTAAAACAGGCAGAAATAAGACAATTGGGCTGCGCCCTTCCTGGAAGCCCTTTTACCTTCCCACTTGCAGAGGGAACGTGGCTGGTTTCACACGTTGCACAAGATCGCCCCCGGCTTCTTGCATTAAAAAAAGGGGGGGGGGGATATTAATAATCCAGGGTTACACGGACCCAGGTTTAACGCTAACGTGTGAAGTCATCCTGCCTGCGCCTCCCGGTTTAATTCATTCTCTTGGCGGGGCTGGAGGAAAGCTTTCGGGAGAAGCCCATCTCACCCCTCCCCGTGGCCTGGGGAGGATGGGCACTGATTTCCCCGAGGAGCTACTTTTCTACCTGCAGGGCTTGGGGGGGCAGGGAGGGGAGATGCGGCGGCCGATGCAGAATGAAGCCGCGCAGCACGATCGGCGGCCCGGGGGACCAGCCACCCGCTCCTTTCCAGAGGCCGCCCCTTGGGCCGATCGCGCGTGGGGTGGTCGGGGGAGCATCCACGGCCCCCCCCCCCCCCCCGCCTCAGCGCTGATCGCGCAGCCCAGCCGCCGCTGCCCCCTCCTCCTGCTCCGCTCCCTCAGGCTGCAGCCGCGCCGCCTACCCGGCCTGACGCTGAGACGCCCCTCCGGGCGCCGATTCCTCACCGGGGACTCAGAATCCGCTCTCCGCCCGGCTCCCTCAGCCATCCGCTCCACGCGCGCCCACTCCCAGCTCCGCAGCCCGCCCGCTTTTCCCGAAGCCCGAGACGGAACACAACTACAGGCCGAGCGGCGCGTCGATCACGACGACGGGCCCGCCCCCCAGAAAAGATGACAGGACGGAAGCCACGTCCGTCAACAAAGCGGAAGTTCGAGGGACCGAGCGTCGGGAGTTCCGTCCCCGATTCAGAGGGGGAGGAGGAGGGGCCCGACGGGATTGGTTGTCTTGGAGGAGGGAAGCTTGGTTGAGGCGCGAGTAGTGACGTGTCGCTGTGGGTAAACGAGGGGTGAGTGGGGCGGAGCTCGGAGGGGGCGTGGCCAGAGGCTTTCACGTGGCAGGAGGCGGCAGGGCGAGTTCGAGGCCGGGTTCCCCGGAGCGCGTCTGAACCGCCAGATTTAAGGAAGTGGCTGGAGCTCTTGCAGCTTTTCCCAGCCCTTCAGCTGGGAGGAGTGTCGCTGCCAGAATCGCGTCAAAATGACCGCACCAGCTGAGCATTAGACCATGGGTATGATCTAGTTGAGGGGTCCCCAAACTTGGCACTTTTAAGACTTGTGGACTTCAACTCCCAGAATTCTCCACAAGTCTTAAAAGTGGCCAAGTTTGGCGACCTCTGGTCTAGTTTAATGAAAAGGAGGACTGGGGGCGACATGATAGCAGTCTTCCAATATCTCAGGGGAGCAGGGGTCGCCAACCTTTTGGACCTCAGGGACCACCAAACTCATTTTGGATCCCAGGGACCACTAACTGGTTCTGTGGGCATGGCCTAATTTGTGGGCGTGGCTTGGTGGTCATGTGACTGGCTGGGCATGGCTTGTATGTAAATATTATAAATATTAATATAAATATTGATTTTTTTAATAAAAAAAGAACAACTTTTACCCAAAATCAGGCAAAGCAGGCAGGCAGATTGAGTTGCTCACAGAATCACAGATTCATTCAGAGATCTATCTATCTGCCATTGGCTAGCTCAGTTTGTCACATAAAATTTGCTTGCAAACTCATAAAATTTGCCAGCAAGCAAACTCACAAAATTAACACAACACATCATGTATGTAAATATTGAATGTTTTATATTTAAAAAAGCAACTTTTATCCAAAATCAGGCAAAGCAGGCAGATTTGAGTTGCTTACAGAATCATTCAGAGATCTATCTATCTGCCATCGGCTAGCTCAGTCTCTCAAATTTGCTTGCTGTGAGTCTGCACTGAATTTGCTTGCAAGCAAACCTTCAGGCCTAAGGGAGGTTCAGCTGTGCTGAGCTAAAAAGCAAGAAATCCAACCATTTCCTGCTTCCTAGCTAATCTAAATCTCCCGGCACAGCAGAACAGATGATGGTCGGAAAAAGGAAAAATAGCAACTTAGCAGACAAGTTTGCCAGGTAAGGAGTGAATGGGTTTCCGCCGGCCATGTGGGCTGAGCAGCCTTGTGTAGCCTGGATTAATTGCTTTGAGGGGGGGTGTGTGCTCTGGGATTGAGATTTCTCTGCGGCCCACCAAAATTTTCTCGCAGCCCACTGGTTGGCGACCGCTGCTCCACAGCACCCGAAGGCCAGACAGGGAGCAATGGATGGAAACTAACCAAGGAGAGCACCAGCCTGGAATTAAGGAGAAATTTCGTAACAGGGAGAACAATTGACCAGTGCAACAGAAGTTGCCTTCAAGTCGTGGCTGCTTCATCACTGGAGATTTTTAAGAAGAGCAGCCACCTGTCTGAAATAGTATAGGGCCGTGATGGCGAACCTAAGGCACGCATGCCAGAAGTGGCACGCAGAGCCATTTCCCCCAGCACGCGAGAGCTCGCCCGGAAGAGCCCCACTGCGCATGCGCGCATGCTGCTGCCCGACAGCTGATTGTCGGGTATCTGGCACGCATGCGTGGGAGGGCGAAGAAACACGCAACATGCGCTGGGGGTCATGCACGGATGGTGTGGGGGTGATTGCATGCGCATGTGCAGATGGATGGCGTGGGAGGGGGTGATCGCATGCGCAGGGGGGGCGGGTCCAGCACGCATTGCCTTCTGGGTGCTGGCACACGAGTCCAAGCGCAATTATCGGCACGGGAGCCGATAAAGGTTTGCCACCACTGGTATAGGGTCTCCTGCTTAAGCAGGGGGTTGGACTAGAAGACCTCCAAGGTCCCTTCCTATTCTCTTATTCAGATCTACGGCACCAGCCACCATCAAAGCTGACACCAGCCAGAGTATAGGACTCAAAGAAAGTAGTGCAAGATTAGAATACATGGAGAAACCTAATCCACAGAATCGCCCAGACCTAGAGTCATCGTCCACAGTGCCAGCTCTTTTGGAAAGCATCAGGCTGGCAACAGCTTAAGATTTGAAAAGGGCCGTTTTATTATTAGTATTTACTGAATTTATATTGCTGCCTATTTGCCCAGGAAAATACAGGTTTTTTTTGCAGGGGACTGATCGCTCATCACTTATTGTATTATTAGAGGAAATTGATATGCCACCGATTTCAATTGGTATATTGTTGATAGCTTGGGGTATCCTTTGCCCACCACACAACCCTTAAGACCAGCTCCATCCAAACCCTTTTTATTTCCTTTTCGAAACAAGGCAGAATTTGCAATTGGGTACAAGTGGTGAGTCTGCATTTTAAAGATCAAAGTCTTTTAAGATGAAGATGGGAATATGGCTCCCAAGGGGGAAAGCTGTATTTGCATTATGCACTAGGTAGGCTAATAGGGGGTGGAAAGTTGATCGTTCTGTAGGTTAGAAGAATCCCAATGCATGTGATTTGTTTGGACAATGTGATATGCAAATACGTTAATTGTATTTACCCCAAACACCATCCAGCCCCAAGAGATATCAAATGCTATCAAAATTAAAATTTGGTCCTTCCCCCATCCAGTTCTCAACCTGGTTCTACCAGGCTTGAAGGGCAGCCTCAGACATCTCCTTCAAAGGTATTCTTTACAGTTGTAATATGCATAATTTCCAAATGTTCTACATCAACCCTGAGCATTCTGATTTTCTCTTGTTGCTTCTACCTCAGTCCTTCCCTAATGACAGCCATTAGTATTTTTTGAAAGCAAGATATAATAAACAACTGTAATAAATAACATAATTTTAGGCACTACATCAACAACAGCATCTTCCTCGCTTGTCTCTTCCTCCCCTCTCTTTTTTTGGCAAATGAATTTCTTGCATTTATCTTATGTCTATTGGGCAGCATCTGAAAAAGCTGCAGATAAAGGCAAAAATTTATATATTCAAAGCAGATAATACTATGCCATTTTTTTTAAAAAAAATCTATCTACGCAGCCCTTGTTTTTTTTAGCGTTTATACAATTCTTTCTCATTCCCTGGAAACCATAATTTTAATTCACCTGGCTCCTATCCATAAATGCCACTTTGGGTCATTTCCCAAGCAGAAAAGTTTGAATTAGGAACAGAAATTATTTGAACCAGTTTGTGGGAAGTTTTTAAGTTTTTATTCTGCCCTTCTCCCATCCCCATCAAAATGAGTTTCATGATTCAGTCACACAATCACATTTTTTGGGGTATCCCATTTTCTTTTAATGGTTCAGTGTGAAAATACAAGAGAAAACATTTATCTGTAGACTGACTTCAGTTCTACAAAAACCAAAGGGCTTTTTCTTTTTTAAAAAATCTCATAATGTTTAGCCATACAGAAACTGACATGCATAAGGAATACTGCCTAAGATCAGGACCACATTATACTTCTTTGTGCATACACAATTACATATGTACACACACAGACAGATGAATACATATGAAGTTCACTTATCCTGAGCTGAGGACTCCTTAACTTCAATTGCAGCTACAATCACACAGGATCACTTTGGTGTCCATGATTCTCACCCATCTGGGACAATAATTCCAGGTCAGCCTTCCTATCAGTATTTGAGTTGGAGGCCTTTGGAACTGAAATTAACAAATTCTGTTCCGCATATTGGGCTTAGCACCAGTGGCCCCTATGTAGACTTGTGCAGAAGCCCTGTTGAAACCACCCCCACCTGTTTCTCTATAGAGATCTTTCAGAATCTCCCTTGTGTACAAGTCCTCCTGCCCCCCCACCCGGAAAAAAAAATCCATCTCCAGGATCCATAAATAAGTTCCGTAGAAGCATTGTTCCTTGCAAGATTTTAACAGTATATTGTCAACCTTACAACCCCAGACACAAGAATTAACAAGTTTTCGCTTCAGTGCCAAACTTTACCCGTACACTTTTCAAATTTCCCTTTCAATGTTCAGAAGGTGCTTTTCAAAAGCTCCAAGGATATAAGTAAAAAAAACGAAACGGTACATTCTGTCCTTAAGATTAGGAATTTGTTGCATCCATCAAAAGCAGATCCCTTCAAAATAAAAAATAAAAACCAAATAAAGTTAAGAGAGGCCACCAGATGCCAGGCAGAGGCAGAGCCCTCCCACAACATCTTAACCTTGCCCAAGTGTTACATGATCCACTTTTCATTTCAGCACACAACGGGGGATTACAAAATCCTGACCTGAGGTTACCATATAAAGAACTGCAATCATTGAGAAAAATCCAACCCTTGTGGTAAAGACCCCATCAGCATCAGAAAGGCAAGACAATATGCATTACAAAAACCATTCATCCTGGGAAATGGGGGGGAGGTAAGGAAATATACAAAAAAGTGCACAGAAACAGGCCCATTACACACTATAAAAACAAGCAAAGAACCTGGCTTCTGAAATAAACTCACAAAGTGTTAAAAACCCAGGGTCCTCCCACCCACTCGCCCACCCACCCACCCACCCACCCACCCAAAGTATTCCATTCTATCACTGGGTGAGATGCAAACCAATGTCCAACAGGGGCTTAAAAGGGAGATCACAAGGGAAAATGCACAAGCCCCTCACCCCCAACCCTCCCCCAGCAGACCGTTTCCTTCCCTCCTCAGAATGACAGAAACAACGTATTGTCTGAAGGGTTCTCTTCTTTCCCCTCCTCCCTGCTTTGGGGTTTAGTGTGCCAGTCGAGCAGGGGAGGAGCGTGGTGAGGGCAGTCGATCAGCAGATGAAGAGCTGCTCTGGTTGGATTGAAAATAAACCGTCTTATGAAATAGCTTATTGCTAAGGAAGACGACCAAGGAAAAGAGGCGTAGCTGGAAGTGGCTGGAATAGAAGACAACCTCTATTAGTTTCTTAACCTCTATTAAAATCCCTTTAATTTGTGGACATACAGGTAGTCCTCGACTTACGATCAGTCGTTTAGCTATAATGGAACAGAAAAAAGACTTTTGGCAGTTTTTCACACGACCACTGTGGTCATGTGATCAAAATCCAGACACTGGGCAACTGGCTTGTATTTCTGATGGTTGCAATGCCCCAGGATTACGTGGTCACATTTTGCGACCTTCTGACAAGCAAAGTCAATATTGCTTTACAACCGTGTCACTAATTTAATAACTGCCATGACTCACTTAACTGTGGCAAGAAAGGTCATAAAATGGAGCAAAATTTACCCATCAACTGTCTTGTGTAGCAATGGAAATTTGGGCTTCAATTGTAGTCCTAAATCGAAAACTACCTGTATTCTGCATTAGGGCCTTTCAACATATCAAATCTGCCCAACACCAATTAAGAACAGTTCCCTACTGCTGAAATCTTTGTCAATTTTGCAGACTTGCGGAAAGATGGGGAGCAAAATTCAATAAATAAATAATAAATAAACCTTTTAGACTTAGGCATAAAAGTTTATAAGCAGTACAGGTTTATAAGTAGTAGAATCCTTTCTGCTTACTAACCATAGCTGTCAGGGCAAAAAAAATGGAATATGGTATAATCTACTCCACTGGGGTAGAAGCCCTTACCTATACAGGTAATCCTTGACTTACAACCAAAATGGAATCTCAGTTGTTGAGTGAAGTAGTCATTAAGCAATACATCTGCTTTATGGCCCTTTTCTGAGTCCATTGTTAATTTTAACCATCATTAAGAAAACTGTCATAAATTTAGGAATATCTGCATCTTTTCCTGGTAACAAATATTCTTTTATTTCTCACCTGAGGTAAAAGGCACCCAGTTATTCTAACAAGGAAGTGGGCAGCCTGGGGCCTACGTAAAATCTTGCAGTTTTGCAGCCCTCAATATCTTCTTTTTTCATAACTGCTGGGCTATCAATGTTCTGCCATTTTTGACATGAATATTGAATATGGCCTTTATCAGTTAATAAATGCTAGCCAAGCACTGTTCTTGTCAAAAAAAAAGACACTGGCATTCTTCCCAATCAAGACTGTAAACAGCAAGCATATTCCAACTCTTCATCAATCATAATAATAAAATATATGAATAATAATTACAAATAAAATAATCATAAATAGAAAAACCCTAATTTTATTGACCTAGTACAGCAAACTTTGAATGCGGAAGAGAACATTCAAGTTTGAACATCTTGAAATAACAAAGTCAGTTGTTTCCAAAGCTATCTAGAACACTGACATAAATACTCGAGTATTTATCAAATAACACATATTCATGCAAATGCTGCATACGTAACTATATGTGTTCTCCCCCATCAGTTTGTAAAATCAAGGTTGAGAACCACTAATCTAGATTACCTCATTCTCAACACCAAGAAAAAGTATTTAGTGAGACCATTAAGGAAGAAGAAATCAGCAGTTTTAGGTAGACTGTACTTCTCTCATTCACAAAAACATCTGCTGGCAAAGGAAATGGGTACTTACTATGCTCTTCCTGGTGCCTTGGATTCGTTGGCGCTGATAATAAATAGAGGGAAAAGAATGGAGAACAAGCAGCCGCTGTGGGGAAGGGAGGCAGGGAAAGAAAATAGAAGGTGTGATACAAGTCTCTCTGCAGACTTTTTTTTGAAAAAGGGAGAATGGATAAACTAGAGAATATGATGTGGATGAAAAGTCTTAATGCAGATTTAGGAGACCAGTAGTACAGCGGTGAGCATAAACCTTTCCTTTCTACTTTAGTGCAGGTTTTTTTTTACATCCTTAAACTGAGTCAAGTGGAGCATGTCATTGTGTTTATGCTACCAAGAAATTAGTGAATTGCACTATGGTTTTTAAATTATGGTAATCAGGTTAGGGCTATATTTGAAACAAGTAAATGTCACTGTTTTGATAAATTCTAGGTAGAATAAATCATGTCTTAAACAAGATCTGAGAATCCAACCACCGACATATGGGTACATGCACACATATACCTGTGTATGGGAAAATGAAGAGGACAGTATAGTGAATGAACCTGTTTTTTCCAAATGTTGTGCCTTAGGCTTAGATGTTCTAAATTTATTAACTTGCATGTTCCTTCAATCACTGAAAAAATTGCTCATACATTATGATGTGTGAAAGCAACCTTGGTCTTAGTTTTTATGTACCTTTTCTTAATTTTAATTTTTTTTCTATTTATCTTTTATGGTTTACAGGTGAAACTCGAAAAATTAGAATATCATGCAAAAGTTCATTTATTTCAGTAATGCAACTTAAAAGGTGAAACAATGACCGTGGGATTACTGTGCTTGATTGGTTAGCAAACTCGCCTGACCTGAACACCGTTGCCAAGAGAAAGATGAGAGACATGAGACCAAACAATGCAGAAGAGCTGAAGGCCGCTATTGAAGCATCCTGGTCTTCCATAACACCTCAGCAGTGCCACAGGCTGATAGCTTCCATGCCACGCCGCATTGAGGCAGTAATTGCTGCAAAAGGGGCCCAAACCAAGTAGAGTACATATGCATGCTTATACTTTTCCGAGGTCTGATATTGTTCTATGTACAATCCTTGTTTTATTGATTGCATGTAATATTCTAATTTTCTGAGATTGTTCATTTGGGGTTTTCATGAGCTGTAAGCCATCATCTTCACAATTATGATAAATCATGGCTTGAACTATCTTGCTTTGCATGTAATGAGTCTATCTCATATATTAGTTTCACCTTTTAAGCTGCATTACTGAAATAAATGAACTTTTGCACGATATTATAATTTTTTGAGTTTCACCTGTATAAGCTGCCCAAAGTTGCCTTATTGATGAGATGGACGACATATAAATTTAATAATGGGCAACATATAAATTTAATAAATAGAAAATAAACAAAGAAGAATCCAAATATCCAGCATCCAAATGCTGTATCCACATCTTTTGTCATGCAGCTCGCTACTCAATAAAACATAGCTTCTCCTATATCAGGGGTGTCATACTCACGTCGTCACGTTGTCGTCACGTGACATATTGTGACTTTCCCCCCCTTTGCTAAACTGGGGGTGGGCATGGCCCATTTGACATCCCTGTCCTATATCAAAATAATTTATTAAATTTATATACCACCTAAGTTTTTGTATAGTAGGCTCTCTCTTGTTCCCTATAATTGACACATGGAATGGCTCAACAAATCAGCAGCAGAAAGGCCAGCATCCAAGTCCTGCCCAGATTAATATTTTGGCATAACTGGAAATAGGAAATAATACTGTATTTATGAGAAGTGTCTTGGTTTTCTTGTACTTTATCATGAAATATTCATTCATTCATTCACTCATGATTTAGAGGTTGTCTGAGTATAGATGACTCTGGTGGCTTACACTTTTAAAAGGAGGAAACAATACAATAGAAAAACACATCATGGATGTCCAGAAGAAAAGAGCCCTACATCTCAATTAAATCTTCAGGGGCTCACAACACTTCCACAAGACCAGTTTTTCAAAGGCTTTGCTTCTATCACTGCTCTGAGAGATGCTCTTATTCTCCTTCCCCATTATCATTTACACCAGGTCTCTTTCCAATAATTCCCTACCTACTTTTCCTCCTATCCCTCTCACAGAAAAGAAAAAAGATGGCATGTCTCCAATTTCTCAATAAGTCACCTGATAATGTAAGAAGACTGCATTGCAGTGAGAAAGGCCAGTGGTAACCCAAATCCAAAGTAATAAGGCCAGTTCCTTTCAATGTTGGATAATCGTTGATGCATTTCAATTCCTGGCAAGAGAAAAGCCCAAAACACATGGTTCAAAGAATTAATATTGTGATATAATACTGGATTTCATATTTCAGGAATTACAATCCCAATATTTCCTGCTTCACATTCGAGGAAGTATGTAAATACGACACATACCAGTATTTTACTGATCACAATCAGCAGTGACTTCCAGCTACCACCAGCAGGAGGCAGAGAAAAATATGTATTCTTAAATTTTTCAGTTCTGCTTCAGCCACTGGAGAATCTCTAATAAAGATTCTACTGGAAGAGGGTTTGATGGGATTTGTATACATTTGCACAAAATAACTCAAATTCTTAAGAACAAAATGAGAGGATTTTTTAAAAAGTTAATTACACAGTGAAAAGCCAGGACTCACCTTTATTAAACCAACGGTATTCAAAGCAATACAGTGAGTAAAGCAGCGACATATGAAGCAGACTAATTAACTGCCCAATGATATCAATAGGAAACAGGCTCACAATCATCCCCTGGAAAAAGCAAGAAATCCACTTTAAAGACCATTCCCTTCCATAGAAAACTCAAATTCTGTACTTCATTAAAAAGCCCAATTCATTAGTCATTATGAAAAGCCCAAGAAACTAAACGAGTGAAGAGACAGTACAGGTAGTCCTTGATTTACAAATGATTGCTTAACAACCATTTGCAGTTACAATGGACTCAAACTACTCACGACCCATCCTCCAAGTTATGACTGCCACACAACCCCCGACTGTATTTTGGCAACTGGCTCACATGTATGACTAGTGGCAGCATCGTATGACTGCACTTTGTGATATTATTGCAGTTTTCTGGCAAGAATGATACATTGGATAAAATGGCTTTCCACCTATAACCACATAGTGTCATGCCCCTGTTAGAATCTGACTCCGAGGGAGAGGAGGAACAGCCTACAGGGAGTGGGAGTGTGGCTCCGGAGGTTGTGGAGGAAACTGGGGAAGAGCAAAGGCCGGCTGGGCATTCAGAGGAAGACCCAGGCCCATCCCCTCGTCATCCTAGGGCACGCAGGGAGGAGTGGATAAAGGAGAAACGTGAATGGCATGGTCTACGGGGGAGGAAAGGACCTTGATCCCCTTCATGGGCTGCAGCTGTGAGGAATGTTTAAAAGGACAAACTGCTCATGGGCCAGTGCTGGAAGTAAAGCGTGAAAATATTTCTAGTCTGTCAGTTCTTATCCGATTTCTGGCGTCCTTTCCAGTGTGTGTATTTCAATATCTGTGGACGTCTTCAAGCCCTTATCCTGCCTTGTCTCATTAATTCTTCAATGTGGTTTGTGTTTTTTTTTCTATTTATAATTTATATGTATTTTGAGTTTGAATGGAAGTTCTTCCTTTTCACAACTGTTTGTGGGGGAGTTTTTTCTCCAGTCAATGATAATTGGACCTTTAAAGCCAAGTTGAAGGAATTAAAGGGACTTCACCTGTTTTTGTGACTTTGTTGTTTTTGTATCCCACCCTGGGTCATCACACATGGTTTGCTTAATAACCACACTTGCTTAACAACCACTGTAAAACCAATCATATTATTAACAAACATATAATAATCATGAGTCTGGTCACTTTGGAACCTCTACTTAGGACTGAAATTCCAATCCAATTATGGTCATAAATCAAGGATTAACAGTATACTTGATTCTCTTCTTCCTTCATACACTCTGCTCCAGTCCCAATATCAGAGCATTGGATCCCTGGTCCAAGGGCAACACAGTTCATGACCATCATTCTTGGCTATGCACATTTGAGCAACAAACCTGGCCTGTAGTTTTCTCTTGCATGTCAGGAGGACAGGAGTCCAAGAACTCTCCATTATAAACAGCTTTGAAGAAGTAGTAGTGTTAAATCTATAATCCCAAAGGTTGTGACTGGGAGAGAACTACCACATAAATCAAACTGGCTCGCAAACCTATTTATAAAAATATGGCATAATTCATTCCTTTTTCTTTCCCAGTCCTCTCCGCTTTTTTCTACCTTGTGGTTTATTTCTTGTAAGGTCTGCCAAATGTATGCCATTTGGGTGTCCTTCAAATACTAATGTCTATTACTCTTAATGTCTGGAAAATTTGGATTGAGTGTTTTATGCCCATTCTTACCTGGATGAGAAAGAGAGCTTGCAATAAGAGGTTAAACAACATGTCGGCAATGATTTTACTGACACTGGGGAAAGGCTGCGGCTTCCTTCCTGACACCTCAAATGCCAGATCAGCAATGTCCTGAAACGGAATAATCAGAGTTCTGAACAAAATGGAAGAAGTTCGCTGTCTTGAATATCCCTCAAAAAACACAGTACAATACAGGTAGTCCTTGACTTATGACAATTAAGACCAGAATTTCCATTGGTAAGCATATTGGTTGTTAAATGAGTTACGCCCAATTTTAAGAGCTTTTCGGCCATGGCTGTTAAGCAAATCACTGCAATTCTTAAGTGAACTATGCAGTCATTAAGTGAATCCGGCTTCCCTTTGACTTTACTTGTTGGAAGCCAGCTGGGAAGATTGCAAATGACAAGCACATAACCCCAGGACACGGCAATCATCATAAATATATGGTGGTTGCCAAGCACCCAAATTTTGATCACATGACTGTGGGAATGCTGTGATAGTCGTTAAGTGAGAGGGATAGTTGTAAGCCGCTTTTTTCAGTGCTACTGTAACTTCGAATGGTCACTACAAATGGTTGTAAGACAAGGACTATCTGTGTATCAAGGAATGTTTTATGTAGATAACCAAGAAGAAAGAGCTAGGCCAAGTTATCCATTTCCTCAAAAAACTACTTACCTGAAACCAAATGGCATTGACCACTTTACTGAGCACAAAGAGGGGGAGGACCCAAAGGGCACTGAAGACAGAGGTGAGAATAAATTCCAGCCAAGACCAGACATCACCGTGTAATGATGGGTCACCTTCCAAAACAGAGAGAGCATTTTCAACGGTAATAAGAAAAAAAGATTCATTACAATTTAGGGGCTTCACATGAACTGCTACCCCAGAAAAAGAAAATATATCTTCCCTCTATAGTCACAAGTAGACAACTGATTGGTAAATACAGACAGGACCATAATTGTATCTTCTTTTAATTCAAGAGTGTTATTTCAACTTTACAAATATAGTACTATGTTCCAAGTTTGAAAATTTGAGGGAAAGGGAAGAGAAGAGTAGGACAGATTCAATTGTATACTTGTCTATCATAATATAATTGGCTAGGCTAGGCACAAAGAATTATTTATTTGGCAAATGCCTTAAACAGTAATATACTTACCAATTACATGTGCTGTTGCTGACTGAAGCAGAGGGATGAATACCCGATAGAACAAGAGGAGGCTAAGCTAAAAAAAAACCACACAATAATTCAGTTTTAACCACTAATTTTTAAATGTGCATGGTGCTATGGGGAAATGTTTTCCAAGATCCAGAAGATGCAATTCTGTTTTCTACAACTGACTTCAATCCTGGATACCTTAGCACATATTTCATGGTACATACACAAGTAAATATATGAATAATTTATCTTTACAAATATGACAGCTCCAGCACACTCATCTGTAGTTCTATGGGGAAATCATAACAGGGAAAAACACAGCAAAAAGAAACACTAAAATGCTATAAACACAAAGCTACAAACTTTCCCTAAACTGAAATTAAGGATATAAAGTTCTTTGGATCCAAAACCAAAAAGGTGCTTTAGAAAAGTATTAAACTACATCCGATATCCGTAAGCACCTCCTTAAACAAACTGCACTTTTTCTAGAACTTGCACAGTGCTATAGTTCCACAATCCCAGTATTTGAGAGCCACGGTGGCGCAGTGGTTAAAATGCAGTACTGCAGGCCACTTCTGCTGCCTGTTGTCCGCCTGCAATTTGGCAGTTCGAATCTCACCAGGCTCAGGGTTGACTCAGCCTTCCATCCTTCCGAGGTGGGTAAAATGAGGACCCAGATTGTTGGGGGCAATAGGCTGATTCTGTAAACCACTTAGAGAGGGCTGTAAAAGCACTGCAAAGCGGTATGTAAGTCTAAGTGCTATTGCTATTGAGATGACAAAAATAGATGAGGGGCTGCCAACATTTCTTAATGCAAACAGCTATTTCCTGGGATTGCGTAGCTATTTATACTTATATTAAAATCTGATTGGGATAACACTGCATCTACCAAGGCTAACTATAAGTTAGCTATCCCTTATCTGGGAAATAGAAGTGATTTCAATCACTATTCAGTTTGCTTTTCAGGTTGAAGCATTATCCAATTACAAAGTTCAAGCAAGTAAGCATATTTGCAAAAAGGAACAAAGCAATTGATTCAATTATGTTGCTGTTGTTAAAAAAGAAGCAAAAATATTCTTACCCAAAATACACCTCCATTCCATGCACAACACTGAAGTATTCGGCTTACTATCCGGGGTTCACTAAAGAAAAATAGAAGAAAGTGCAAAAATCAAACTACGTGTATTTTCAAAAAGCACACCTGTTTAAACACAAAAACAGATGGGAATGCTTCAGATACGAAAGCAGGTTCTTTCAGCTTGGTGGTTTCAATCTATTTGCAACCATAAAAATGCAAAAGTATACATTTCCATTATCTCATTAACTTTCAAATTGTTGGGAGCCTCATTTGGCTAAAAAAAAAAACAATTTTAAAGGTCTCCAGTTTTCCTTGTTTTTCCTCTGTTATTAGGTAAGCCTATGTAGACGGTCATCATTTCAACTATTCAACATCATACAGATATATATATGTACAACTGGATGTTGTTCAGCACCTAAGGTAAATTTGCAGCCTTTTTTATTTCTTATTCATAAAGTCTACTTTTTAAAAAACATGAATTACAACTACAGAAGCTACTGGGGTGGAGAGAAAAATTAGTATCTTAAAATCTTCATTCCAAGTCTCTTCCTACAAAGAATCCAGTGGCTTCCATGATGAAATTAAACAGCTATCTAGAACAGGGGTCGCCAACCTTTTGGACCTCAGGCACCACCAAACTCATAATTTTAAATCCTAGGGACCACTAACTGGTTCTGTGGGCATGGCCTAATTTGTGGGTGTGGCTTGGTGGTCATGTGCCTGGCTGGGCATGGCTTGTATGTAAATATTATAAATATTAATATAAATATTGAATTTTTTATTTAAAAAGAGCAACTTTTTATCCAAAATCAGGCAAAGCAGGCAGGCAGATAGAGTTGCTCACAGAATCATTCAGTGATCTATCTGCCATCGGCTAGCTCAGTCTCTCAAATTTGCTTGCCATGAGAACCTTCAGTCCTAAGGGAGATTCGGCCGTGCTTAAAAGCAGAGCCGAAGATCTAAAGACTAGCTAGAAAGCAAGAAATCCAATCATTTCCTGTTTCCTAGCTAATCTAAATCTCCCGGCACAGCAGAAAAGATGATGGTCGGAAAAAGGAAAAATAGCAATTTAGCAGGCAAGTTTGCCAGGTAAGGAGTGAGTGGGCAAGGAGGGTTCCCGTGGGCCATGTGGGCAGTGCAGCCTTGTGTTTCTGCACAGCCTGGATTAATTGCTTTGGAGGGGATGTTCTCGGAGTGAATTTCTCTGCGGCCCACCAAAATTTTCTCGCGGCCCACCAGTTGGCAACCGCTGATCTAGAACATAGTCAGTGCCTCACATTATACTGGCTGACAGTTCCACATAATAGAATATTTCAAAATCCTCATTTAATTTGGCCAACATACCAAAGTTTGCAGGATCCAGTATGTACTATGCTATGCTAGCAGACATGACTTCTAGAGATTCAGCGCAATCCTGGTGGCGGCACAGTGGTTAGAATGCAGTATTGCAGGCTAATTCTGCTGACTGTCAATTGCCAACAGTTCGATTCTCACCAGCTCAAGACTGACTCAGCCTTCCATCCTTCTGAGGTGGGTAAAATGAGGACCCAGATCGTTGGGGGCCAGAGGCTGACTCTGTAAACTGCTTAGAGAGGACTGTAAAGCACTGTAAAGTGGTATATAATCCTAAATGCTATTGTTATTGATATCTTGATGATAAAACACTGATAGAGGATTACTGATGGCACGACACAATTCCCAAGCTTGGAACTTACTTCTCTTGCTTCCTCTCTTCGCTTTGTGCTCTTCGTTGGGCAAGTACACTAGTTGCTCTTCTTTTCCGCTGCTCTTCCCTTTTCTGCTGGATCCGAGCATCCAGCTTGGAGATTGTGCAGATCCCCCATATGGAATCTTTAATTCCCTAGAGACATAAACTTCTAAATTCAACATACAGTGTACAGTTCAACAGTCTGTATGCAGGTACTTCTCGACCAACAGCCTTTCGTTTAGTGACTATTTTAAATTCCAACAGCACTAAAAAAGTGACTTATGGCCAGTCCTTCCACTTATGACTGTTGTAGCAATTCCAGTCACATGATCAAAATTTAGGAATTTGGTAACTAGAGTCCCAGAATCATGAATTTTCCATTTGCAACCTTGCCAGCTGGCTTGTGACAAACAAAACTCAAGTTCCTCAAATAGTTCCAAATCCTCAACAAATATGACAAATCCAGATTTTGAAATTTTATTTCAAAAGTATTAAATGCAAATAATAAACAGTTAGAGATGCTTCAGTATTGGGACTACAGATAGTGCAAACTTACCAACCACTCATTCAGTGACTGATGTTATGACAGTGCTGAAAAAGATTTATAGCTGTTCCTTAAAGTTGTGGTTGTCACAATCCCCTGCAGGCACAAAATCACCATTTGCTAATTTTTCAGCTGGCTTCCATCAGTCAAATGGGGAAGCCATTAGGAAGTCACCAGTCATGGTCAGGTTACATTGAACTTAACTACCCTACTATGGTGAGGACTACCTTTATGTCACAGCAACAAAATCAGAAGCTTCAGAAAGCCTGTTCTAGAAAGCGTTGCAACTAGTGCACTAATAAAAGCTTGTAATAATAATCATATTTCATTAATTTAATTAAGTGCAAACCAGAAACAAAATGAAGTATATGTTTACTCAAAAACAAAGTGTGGTCCCTGACTCAAAACATATTGTGCACCCCTTCTGCAAATACAAATTTAAACACCTGTTGCCTCCATATTTTCTTCTAAAGATATTCTACTGAATGTCAAAATGCAACCCATCTAGATACTTCAAATATCTAAGATAAGTTAGATACTTACTCCAGATTTTCTTGTTTTTTGCTGACCAGTGGTCATCACTCAACTTTCAAACAATTCTACTTAGATGACTGATAATCTTCATCAACATCGTTTCTGTTGAATTTTTTTTCTAAATGACATGTCTAAGTAACTACCCAATGATTCTCTAGCTAAATCTAGTCCTTTAAAGCAAGACTGGACAACCACTTGTCAGAAATGGTATAGGATGTCCTGCTTGAGCAGAGGGTTAGACTACATGACCTACGAGGTTCCTTCCAACTCTGTTGTTCTGTTCTGTTATTTGTTATCTGATCACTAATATAATGGCATCACAGTTCAGAAACTCTCTATTTACTAAGAATCACAGAGTTAGACACAAGGATATTACACTTGAACTTAACCCAAACACTGAGAAACTACCACAGATTTGGTGCTGAGATGGATTTTACTTGATAATTATACCTAGTTTGTAAATGAAATCCTGCAGGTTCCTAAAACTTCCCTTCTTTATACCACAAAGACAGATGTATGGGAACTAACATAAATGTTAGTGGCTGAAACACTCTGAAATCCAATCTTATCTTAAATGCATTGTTGTGTATAACAAGAATAAAAGGAAGTACTTACCCTGATAAGATCATTAAGGAAGATCTTGACGCTATCTGCCATATCTAAGCCAGCATTGTCTCGACATCTAAAACTATCAACTACAAGGTGTAGGGAAGAAATGACCCCAGGCCTGTCTCATTGTGAAAACATGAGAAATTGGTAATCTGACAAAAGAACAAAAAAGATGGCTATTAAGTGAAGCAATGAAATTGATGTTACGATTATAAATAGAGTATATTTGTCCTTAATCATTCTTAAATTCATATGGATCATGAAAATGTTTACTTTCCAAGACCATATTAAATCATTTTAAACATGCTTCTTCCAGACCACAATAAACATCAGTGCTTAAGATATTCCAAGAAGAAGCAACAACAAATAATACAATGCTCCAAATATTCAAGTCTCATGTTTTGGGATGTGGATGATATATAAAAACATAGCAAAAAAAAATCTGAAGAAGTCACAACAGCTCAGCAGGGATGGTTTCCATTAAACACAAGTGAGACTAACACCCACCCACAAACATGGCAAGCCCATTATCAGCCCCAATGAGATGCCAGCTCAAACTATTCTGGTTCTCTACTTTCTGTCATTTTCTGAAATATATTATTCATTTCTGGTAATAAACATACATGTATATTTTACTTAGCATTCCAACATTTTTAATTTAAAAAAAATCACAAAATACAAAGTATCCACAACTATAATTTTGTCTTTCTTATATTGTTCTATAATTTTGTCTTTTCTTATATTGTTCAAAGTTCTTACAAGTAGAACAGTGCTTCAGCGTCACCAAAATACCACTAACCAAAGTAAACCAAAGAAAAAATAATTTAGAATGCAAGTGATGGCAAAGCAAATGCTGATATACTATGAAAAAAATTCTCCAAAGAAATCAGGCTGGATGCCAATGAAATAAGAATAGGGATCTTTTATTAGCAAACATATAGATAGTTTTTCATTTTTGTCTGTGAAGTTAAAATACAATTTAAGATCTTTATGTGGCATATGCTGATTTTTTAAATATAGGATTATCAACGTACTAATCACTTTAGACTAATATGAGTTAGATAGCATATAGAAGGACAGTACAGAGAATTAACATTACAGAATAGTATACAGAAGAATTGCAAAACCAGTTTCTCTGAGATATTACCCCAAACCATCATTAACGTTTAGTCTCATTCTAGTTACGGAAATATCAAATTATAATTTATGACTGGCTAAACACAGTCATAAATCATGATTTGAGGTATGTTTTCAAATGTTGGGTTGTTCAGCTTAATGAAAAAATGATGCTTGGATGTTTAACCTGATAGAAACTACTGATTTACAGAAGAAAGGGGAAACCAACAGGTTGTTCTAATCAATTGTTCAGATATATGAGAGCTCAAAACAAGCTTAACATCAAGATTTAGTTTTGTCTGGATTAAACATAACGATCATGATTCCAGGGTTAATTTCTAGAACAGCATCGGGGAACAATCTGAAGAGGTGGTAACAAAACTGCTTCTAGAGAATAAAATAATCATAACCTGAAGCAAGATGGAAGGTTTTTAGTGGCTAATGCCAGGACAAAAATTAATTTGATTTAATTACTAAATTCAATTAAAGGTAGTATGATTACTCATAATATTCTCTCTGTAACAGAGGATATGGATGCCAAGGGAAAGTAATATAGGGCTTTGGAACATCAGGCTGTGACCTCTCCTGTAAATAGCAAGGACTCTGGCATAAAATTTAACAATATAAAGAAACTTATTTTGTCATAAATCAATTCAGATCTCCACAGGAATCATATATAGATTACAGAAAATATAAATCAATACATGTACTGAATGTGAATCTCAACCACTTCCAAATTAACTCTCAAACGTTCATATTTCAAACCAGAACTATTTTATCTGCAGTTGCAGCAATAAGACTTAGATGAAAAGGATGAAGTACAAACTTTCAAAAGTCTGAGATTATTTGTAAGGAAAGCTTTCAGTCTCACACAAGTGTTCAACTCTAATACTTTGAGATACAACCTCAAGCATGACAGTATGTGGGAACCTCACACTAAATCATGTCATTTGGGAACAGAACTACTACTGCATGCTCTACAGTACTCATTCATCCTCTTGCCAAGACAGAATTGATCCCGAGTACTGTGTTTAAAATAATGTTTGAAATGCAACTGAAATCATGCTTCAGTTTAGAGGTACTATGCCACTTTCTAGAACATGTTTATTTTAACTTTATTGAAACCCTGTCATAAATGTCTGTGTTATTGCCCCAATTCCCAGAATAGAAATATCTGGTTCTGAGAAAAATCATATATTAACTAAATTTACTGGACAACCTTGTAGGTGCAGCAAAGCCTGAAAAAAATAACTTCATGACTGATAGTTTCTAGTAGGCTTCTAATCACTGCACTAGACTCCTTTTGATAAGGAGATTAACTCAGAAGATTGATCTTTGATGTGCTACAACAGACCATCTCTCTGATATCTGAACTACTTGCTCACAGTGTCTGTTTGGTTGCTGAATGAGAAGGAAACTTCTTCAAATAGAATGCCTTAAAATATTACAAACAAATGTTTCCCCGCAGGGTGGGGAAAGCTTCAAAATAATGGATGAAACAGAAAAAAGAGAAAGGAAAAACTTTAACTCCAAAAAGTATTGGGGTGCAAGCAGTGTTGGATTGCAAAGCAGGTTCCAAATTTAAGAATTTGGGTGTAATATAAAGAAGGGAGAAAAATGGCATGGGGAGAAGAAATGGAGACTCCAATACAGGTAGTCCTTGACTTACAATTGAGCCCAACACTTCTGTTGCTAAGTGAATTTTGCCCCATTCTACAACCTTTCTTGCCACAGTCGTTAAGTGAATCACTGCAATTGTTAAGTTAGTGACATGGTTGTTAAGTGAATCTGGCTTCCCCATTGACTTTGCTTGTCAGGAGGTCGCAAAGGGAGATCACAGGACCCCGGGACATGGCAACCGTCATAAATATGAATCAGTTGCCATGCGTCTGAATTTTGATCATGTGGCCATAGGGATCTAACAATGGTTGTGAGAAAAATAGCTACAGCTCATTTGTTCAGTGCCGTTGTAACTTCAAACCGTCACTAAACAAACTGTTGTAAGTTGAGGACTACCTGGAGCAGAGAGTCTCACTAGCTCAGGGCTGAACTGCAGACAATGATGTTGTTAGCTAGTTGAGTAATGAAACGTCTGCAAGTAAACAACCCAACTTTAGCAAGCACCAAGGAAATAGAAAGATTGTGGGTGTTATTATTATTAATCAGATATGAAAGCCTGTGAGGCCAGCTGCTTTCTTTCAGCCCAACCTACCTCACAGGGTTGTTGTTGTTGTGGGGAAAACAGGAAGCAGGAGCATTAAATAACACTGCCTTGAATTGTACAAAATAAAAATGAGATATTGTTATTATTATTCCCTCAAAACACAGTCTTGCACGTAAGCATCGACGAAAACTGTTTAAGGCGGGGAGGGGGGGGATGTCCCCATCCAGGTGTCTCGAAAGGACTACAATTCCCATCATCCCCATGCACTACACCTTGCTGGCCAGGGATCGAGAAAGATGCGGCCCGGGGCAAGAACCCGCCTCAGACCCGGCAATGGCAGAATACACTCGGTCGGAGGGACCACGGCGTCCCTCCTCCTGCCCAGCCGCGGGGGACGACAGGGAAGGCGGGCAAGCGGGTGGGCGATGGGCTTTGTAGTTAGGCCGGACGGAGACGACGCGAAGTGGCCAAAAAAGGGGAAAGCGAAGCGGGGAAATCCGCAACCCGTGGAAGGCCGAGAAGGATCCCAGAAGAGGAACGCGGGAGGCCGCTTCCTTCCTCCAGCCAGCCAGCCCAGACGACCGTCGATACTTGCCAGCCCAGGCCTCCCGGGGTCCGCGGTCAGCCTTCCACTCCTCGGGCAGCACCGGGCGGGACGCCACTGCGCACGCGCGGCTCACCTCACACCACTCTCTCTTCCCCCTCCCTTCCTGAAGCCTCGCCAGGAGGCAGCGCCCGCGCCAGGGAGCATCCAGGGCTTCGACGCCGGCGATGCGCATGCGCACACCGGCCAGGCAAGACATGCGCAGTTCAGAAGCCACGAGGCACCCGCGGTCCGGCCGTGTCTTCTCTTTTTTTTTTTTAAACCTCAGACGCGCGTGATGGAGTTTCGTGGACTGTTTATATTTTTAATCTATCCCAGTTCCCGTGTACAGGTAGTCCTCAACCTACCACCACAAGTGAACCCAACATTTATGTTGCTAGGTGAGAAATTTGTTAAGTGACTTTGCCCCATTTAATGACTTTGCTTGTTAAGTAAATCATTGCCGTTTGTTAAATTAATAACAGGATTAATAACAACAGGATTATTAGGTGAATCTGGCTTCCCCCTTGATTTTGCTTGTCAGAAGGTCGCAAAAGGGGATCACATGACCCGAGGACACTGCAACGGTCATAAATGTGAGTCAGTGGTCAAGCATCTGAATGAGAATCACAGTGACCATGAGGTCATGCAGCCTGAAAAATGGTCCTAAATAACTTTTTTTCAGTGCCCTTGTATCTTTGGTCATCAGGGGTCGCCAACCTTTTGGACCTCAGGGACCACCAAACTCATAATTTTAAATCCCAGGGCATAACCCGTTGTGTGGGCATGGCCTAATTTCTATCTTATCTGCCATCGGCTAGCTCAGTCTGTCACACAAAATTTGCTTGCAGGCAAACTCACAAAATTAACTCACAACACATCATGTATGTAAATATTTATTTTTTTATTTAAAAAGACCAACTTTTACCCAAAATCAGACAAAGCAGGCAGGCAGATTTTATTTATTTATTTATTTATTTATTTATTTATTTATTTATTTATTTGATTTGCCAATTGTTTACAAGATAATAAGTATAAGTGTATACATAGTTGTGAATACATGAAATGGGTACATATAAGAAAAATAAAAGAATAAGAGAAACAATAGGACAGGGACGGTAGGCACGTTGGTGCGCTTATGCACGCCCCCTACAGACCTCTTAGGAAAGGGGTGAGGTCAATAGTAGACAGTCTAAGGTTAAAGTTTTTGGGGTTTGGGGAAGAAACTACAGAGTCGGGTAGAGTATTCCAGACGTTGACCACTCTATTGCTGAAGTCGTATTTCCTGCAATCAAGTTTGGTGCGGTTAACTTTGAGTTTGTATCTATTGTGTGCTCTTGTGTTGTTATGGTTGAAGCTGAAGTATTCATTGACAGGTAGGACATTGCAATGTATGATTTTATATACCATGTTTAAGTCAGACCGAAGACGGCGTAATTCAAGGTTTTCTAGTTCTAGAATTTCAAGTCTGGTGGCATAAGGTATTCTACAACGAGTAGAGGAGTGAAGAACTCTTCTTGTGAAATATTTCTGGACTTTCTCAATTGTGCTAATATCAGATACGTAATGTGGGTTCCAGACTGATGAACTGTATTCGAGTATTGGTCTAGCAAATGTTTTGTATGCTCTGGTTAGTAGTGTGATATTACCAGAGAAAAAGCTACGTAGGATTAGGTTAACAACTCTTAATGCCTTTTTGGCTATGTAGTTGCAGTGGGCTCTAGCACTTAGATCATTAGAGGTGAGTATTCCAAGGTCCTTTACAGAGCTTGGGTCATCAACAAGATCTTGACTATTCAGCTTGTATTTTATTTTCTGATTTTTTTTTCCCAATATGTAAGACAGAGCATTTATTTGTTGAGATTTGAAGTTGCCATTTGTTTGACCATTCTGATACATAGTCAAGATCTTTTTGTAGGGTAGCAGTATTGTCTGTGGTATTGAACAGCTTTACATCATCAGCGAAGAGAACGCAATTGCTCTTAATATGATCACAGAGGTCATTTATGTAGAGTATGAAGAGAGTTGGTCCTAGAACACTGCCTTGGGGGACACCACTATTGACAGGTACTGGATTTGATAGGACGCTCCCGATTTTGACCATTTGTTGTCTGTTTGACAGGAATGCTTCTATCCAGTTACTCAGTTGTCCAGAGATACCATAGGATTTTATAGATTGAGTTGCTCACAGAATCATAGATTGAGTTGCTCACAGAATCACAGATTCATTAAGAGATCTATCTATCTGCCATCGGCTAGCTCAGTCTGTCACATAAAATTTGCTTGCCGTGAGTGCACTGAATAATAGAACAGAATAGAAATAGAAATAGAAAAGTCCTAAGGGAAGTTTGGCTGTGCTTAAAAGCAGAGCCGAAGATCTAAAGATGAGCTAGAAAGTAAGAAATGCAACGATTTCCTGCTTTCTAGCTAATCTAAATCTCCCGGCACAGCAGAACAGCTGTTGGTCGGGGGGAAAAAAAGAAAAATAGCAATTTAACAGGCAAGTTTGCCAGGTAAGGAGTGAGTGGGCAGGGAGGGTTTCCGTGGGCCATGGGTGGTGCAGCCTTGTGTATCTGCGCAGCCTGGATTAATTGCTTTCAGGGGGTGCTCTTGTGGTGAGATTTCTCTGCGGCCCACCAAAATTTTCTTGCGGCCCACCAGTTGGCAACCACTGCTCTACTAGACTTTTTGTATTTTGTATTCATTATGCCCCACACACTCTTCCCACTATATCCCTTCTTGGTCTACCACACGAATGATTTAGTCACCCCTTTTCCAATTGTTGGAAGAAATATCCATCTGGTTCAGTTACAAGCTGGGAGAAAGACATGGAGGCTGATTGGAAAGATGGTTTCTTTTTTATATATATATATTTTTTATTAATTTTCAATAAACAAACATACACAAACAAAACACAAAACATGAAAACATAAAACTTCTTTTTGGAAAGCAGCTTAGTCCCAGGTTACATCTTTTTGTACAGATATAAATGGAATTCATGCTCACTTTATATACCATTTCATATCTTATTTACCATTCTACATTTTCTATATAGCTTCTCCCCTCTTTTCACTCTCTTAATTCTGTTTTATTTATTTCATCTCAATTTAAATCATTATGCTTATATCTTTTGTCTGTTCTATTTCAATTATCTATTATCTTTTCTCATTAACACAAAATTTCTCCTGTAATCACTGATTGAAGTATGATGCCTTTATATCTTTCTCCTAAATTTAACACTTAAAATAATATATAATTTTCATTCTGATTCTGCTTAGTACATTCTAAAGCTACGTACTATATTTTAAAATAAGAAAGAATAATAAGTTTATAATATAATTAAAACAATAATCCATAGCAAATTAAACTCTATCGTTAAATCTTAAGCATTTTACATATTCCTTTTAATATTTTATCCCATTTTATAATCATATAATATTTCAGTTTTCTAACATTATTTCAAATACAAATACAACAATACAATCTTATGTACTTTCACAGAATCTCTTTTTTAATTATATTTTACCGATTATCTCTGAATAAATCCTGTTTCTTTACATCTTGTTTCAAACCTTTGTAACTTCTCTTCCCTTTTTCCCTTCCTTTCTTCTCCAATCTAGTCTTTTTACCCCCTTGTCTCTTGCTCTCCACCCTCTTAATCTCCACCCTCTTCTGTATTCCTCTTTTCTGTTGCTTTCTGACATTGTATCGATTTTTCACCTTATTTTCCCTTTTTTGTTGTTGTTTTTTTAAGTCTTTCTCCATTCTCTTTCCCCTCTTTCCCCTTTCTTCCCCAGCTAGAGTTGCTTGTTCATTAAAGATGGCTTCTTCTTCATCCCAATCTTCTTGTTCTAGTAGTTTCTGATAGGTAGAAATCGCCATTTCTAAGAAATGAAAAACAGATCCAGAAGAGCCCTTCCCTTCTTGTTCCTCTTCTTTAAGCTTTTTAAATTCCATTTTCAGTTCGTCAACATGTAATGCCATTATGAAAAAAAATTTAAACAGCCCAAATGTTTTTAGTCTTTCAAATAATAATTTCCAAAGGTCCCAAAGTCACCAAGCAATCCAAATACACACAGACTGTTTCATTTAGCACTTTCTTCTTTTTATAGTTTCTTTTCCTGGGGTTACAGTTCAGTTGCAAAGTTCCAAAATATATCTTTTAGAAGTCTTGTTACAATTTAACTCTAGTCTTATAAATTCCAAGCAGCCTCCTCCAGCAAAATCTTAATATTAATTCTTTTCCTCTCCCTTCCCACTTATAGCAAAAAAAAGTTTTTTTTCCAATGTTCAGAAATCTTTAATGTCCCCTTGGCTTTAATTTTCCAGTTTAATTACCTGCTGATGCCAAAATGGGTTTTTCCGATTTCCATCTGCTATCACCGTAAAGAAGGAGAGTGAGAGAAAACAAACTTTCCCTTTCTACTTTCATTCGCCGCTTTTTCCGATCTTTGGGAGCGATGTATCTTAATGAAGTTTAAATTCCAGGGTATTTAAATGTTACTTGTTGTCCCGGTCAGCCAAAAACTTTCACCTCAGCTTCCTCCTGCGCATTCTTATCCAAATGAAAGCTTCTTTGTGGCGGCCATTGCTGACCGCCGCTCCACCGCTTTCGGAAAAGGGAGTTAAGCCAGCTGAGGAGGGGGGTTGCGATTCCCCCGGACCCCTGCCGGATCTCCCCTATCTTCAGTTACCTCTACGGGGTAACTAATAGCCCCCAAATCTGGCTGGATCGGGGGCACTCCAGCGACAAGCGCAGCAGAAACCGCGCACGATTGCGGATTCCTGCCGCCGCCGAAGCCTTGCAAACCGGAAGCCTCGGAAAGATGGTTTCTTGATGAAGCAGAACCACATGTGATTCTGGGCAGCTGACAAAATGGAGTTGAGAGTGGGTGGGTTTTTATACCTTCTTTGGGCTTTGTATTTGAGCTTCCTGTTCCTGTGCAAGAACATGTCCTTTAATATTCTATTGGATATTGTCAGATTCCTATGGGGTCATGTAGGGGTTATGCAGGGGTCATAGCTAGCTCTATAAGCAAAAGAG